GTTCTGTATACTACCCACATCAGAATTACCGTTGATATTTTTTTTTAAAGATTTTATTTATTTATTTATTTTACAGAGAGAGATCACAAGTAGAGAGGCAGGCAGAGAGAGAAAAAGAGAGAGAGAGGGAAGCAGGCTCCCTGCTGAGCAGAGAGCCCGATGCGGGACTCGATCCCAGGACCCTGAGATCATGACCTGAGCCGAAGGCAGCGGCTTAACCCACTGAGTCACCCAGGCGCCCCAACCGATGATATTTTTTAAAAAGCAGGCTCTCCGGCTCCTCTGGAAGTACCAAAACGTTCTGGTAGGAGACAATCTATCTTTTCAGTAGACATCCCGAGTGGTGTTTTGTACGCTAACATTTGAGACCCACTGTGGAAGGTGCTGTTCAACCTCTGGCCCTTCTCTGGGCCTGGCTGGTTAGTACTAAATACAGCTCAGGAGAGCGCTGGTCGGTCTGGTGATGTGGCAGCCGCACACTGGTCCAGGAGCCAGGTACAAACCCCACTGTACAATCTTTCTATGTGTCAGCCAGTGTTTACCAGCATGTGGGGGAATCCTGAAGGGGACAAAGCAAATAGAATCCATGTGCCTTACCTGTCTTACTCACTTAAAAAATATAATGATATATAAAGAAGAACCTATACAACTTGACACCAAAAAAACAAACAATCCGATTAAAAAATGAGCAGGGGACATAAATAGACATTTTTCCCAAGAAGACATCCAGACTTCCAGGGACACATGAAAAGATGCTCAACATCATGAATCATCAGGGAAATGCAAATCAAAACAACAATGAGCTAACACCTTGCACCTGTCAGAATGGCTAACATCAAAACATAAGACATAACAAGTGTTGGCGAGGATGTGGAGAAAAAGGGACTCTCGTTCATTGTTGAGAGGAATGCAAGCTGGTGCAGCCACTGTGGAAAACAGTTCCTCAAAAAACTAAAAATGGAACTACCATACGATTCAGCAATTCCACTACTAGGTATTTACCCAAAGAAAACAAAGAAGCTAATTCAAAAAGATATACCCACCCCCATGTTTATTACAGCATTGTTCATAATAGCCCAGATATGGAAGCAACCCAAGTGTCTATCCACAGATGAATGGATAAAGAAGATGTGGGGCACGCACACACACACACACACACACACACACACACACACACACCACAGAGAATATTACTCAGCCATAAAAAAGAATGAAATCTTACCATTTTCAACAACATGGATGGATCTAGAGGGTATAGTGCTAAGTGTAATAAATCCTCCAGAGAAAGATAAACACCATACAATTTCACTCATACTTGGAATTTAAGAAACAAAGCAAAGGAACAAAGAAAAAAATATATAAACCAAGGAAAAGCTTCTTAACTATCGAGAACAAACTGGGGGTTCCTGACAGGAGGTGGGTAGGAGGATGGGTGAAATAAGTGAAAGGGACTAAGAATATACTTACTGTGATGAATAATATATATAGAATTGTTGAATCATTATATTGTGCACCTATAACTAATATAACACTTCATGTTAACTATGCTTGAATTTAAAAAAAGAATATGATGGCATCTTTTGAACAACAATCTACCATACCTATATTATTTCTCTCATGAGATTTATTTACGGACGCTATTACCTTGGTACCTAAATTCTCAAAGAAAATACAGAAGACTGGAAAGAGCGTATCTAACTTTTCTATTGGTACACGTTAGTTGAAATTATATGGAAAGTTCTCTGATAGGGCCTGTGCCTTTTTATGCCCCACGCGGTTAAAATATAATATTAGTGAAGGAGGTAAATAACATCTATAAATAAAAACAAATTAATAATAAATGGAAAGGAATCTAATCAATTGGTTCAGCCAGGCTCTGTGCTTTCATGCATCTCCTCATGGCCAGAGGGAATGGCACTAGAAAGCATTCTTTCATATGGCATAAAAGTGAATTCTCTTTCTTTCACCTGCAGACCAACAAGCTAATTCAAGAGAGAGAGAGAGAGAGAGAGAGAGAGAGAGTTAATAGTTGAAAGTCCAAAGCAAACACAGTAACAAATATCTTCAAAATAGAATAGTTGGCATTCTGATTTATTAAACATGTTAGTTCACTAGGGACATGTAAAAACGGCCTCTGACCCCATTTACAAATTTGATGAAGGGATATAAGATTTTATGCGGTTTTTAAAAAACTGAAATGTAGGTAGGCCATTTGAGAATGTTCAGGTGAGCAGGTCATTGAGTTATTTGTCTGTTATCCTTATGGGGGTCAGCGTTTGAAACAGAATGCAGCTCCAGTGTCCAGGAGTGACAAGGTCTGCCCAGGGATACCTACGGCCACCATTTTTGTTACTTAATGGCACTTAATGGCAGGCGATGCCTCAGTGCTTTTCCCTGCTCAATTAACTAAATGTCAGTGTCTCTGTGTAGACCACCCATTCCCACTGGAGTCTTTTTTTTTTTTCCCCCTTTAGGGGGATGGGGATGGGGACATGGATGGGGAATTGGAATTTTCATTAATGTTCTGGGTGCTCTCCAGAAAGAAGAATTCTGGCACTGAAAATGAATTGATTTTAAACTCTAGACCTTAATACTCTGGGGAGGTTCAGAAGAGATGCCGTGAGAGCAACTGGGCTTCGTTAGGAAAGAAAAGAGGACACCCAGCCTTCAAGGAGCCGGCTTCCCAGTCTGGGCACTAATCGGTTTGGCAGAGGAGGGAGAGCGCTAACAATGCGAACCGGCTGTGTTGGCTGAAGGGGGCTCTCGGTGTGGACCGCGGCGCTCCTCGTGTGCTGTAAGGCTCGCCGCTCGTTACCGGACCTTTCTGAGCCGCTCTCTTCCCGGGAACTGGGTTCGACGAGGTACCGCCGGCGTAGGGACCAGGCGACCCCAAGGGCCTGACCCGCGAACGAGCGGGATCCGGGACGCGGGCGGCGGCCGCGGCGCCTTCATTAGAGGGCGCTCTGGGGGCCGCTCCGCCGCAGTGTCTGCTCCCGCCGCTTCCTCCCGCCGCCCCTCCGCGCCACCCCAGCGAACGCGGCCCGGCCCGGGGGGACGAGTCTCGGCGCCGCTGGGGACCAGGCGCGGGTCGCGCCGCAGCCGGAGCGGAGTCGGGCCCCGCCGCTGCCTCCTTCCGCCGGCCCCGCCGCCGGCCATGCATTCTTCCGGCTCCTCTGGCTCCCGCAGCCCGGGCCGGAGCCCGGCCAGCCCGAGGTAACCTCTGGCTTGGCGGGCGCAGGCCCCGGGGCTGCGGCGGCGGCGCCGGGCCCGGAGAGGTGCGGAGGGGGCGGGGAAGGGGTGTCGTCGCCGTGCGGCCCGGGGAGGAGGAGGCGGCGGCGGCAGCGGCGTGAGGGACGAGGGCGCGGTAGGCCCCGAGGAGGAGGCGGGGGCGCGGGGCATCCGCCCGCCTCCCCGGACCCGCCCCGGTGACAGGTCCGGCCTCTGAGTCCCCGCCGTCCCTCTGTCCGCAGGCAGCCGCGAGGGGAGTAGGGCGCCCCAGCGCCCGCTCGCGCCGCGCCTCGGC